CCTCCCTCTCTCAGCTATATAATGAGCAATGGATATAAACCCGCCCCCCTGGACCTGAGCCACGTCAAGCTGACGCCCAATCAGAACCAGCTGGTGGAGAAGCTGGCAGAGAACGGCCACAATGTGTGGGCGCGGGACCGCGTGCGCCAGGGATGGACTTACAGCATCGTGCAGGTATCCTCCTTCACACCATTCAGAATAAACACTGCTCCCAAGTACTTTAATCCTCCACTAGGATAAACAATATTTAGTCTGCAGTAGTCTTGGTCAGATCAGGTCTGTGTGCAGGCTTTTATCTCCATTACCACAACATGATCATCCTCTCCTTTCATTCTACATTGTGTTATTAGCATGTCCATGGCTGATACAACAGAACTCCCCCTACAGGTGTATAGGCAACACTATAAAAAGTTATTATGGTGAAATATATGATTGTTTTCTTCCTGTGCCCAGGACATCATGAACAAGCGTAACCCACGTCTGGTTCCTTATAACCTGCTGGATGAGAGAACCAAGAAGACCAACCGAGACAGCGTTAACAACGCTGTGCGCACTCTCATTGGCTATGGATACAACATCGAGCCTCCAGACCAGGAGAGCAGTGAGTCTATGGTGTTGTCTTGCTAATGAAGGACTGGAGGAGAAACGAGGTCTCCATACGCAAATCTCTCCCTCCTTCTCTCTCACTGTCTCTCTCTCTCTCTCTCTCTCTCTCTCTCTCTCTCTCCATCTCTCTCTCTCTCTCTCTCTCTCTAGCTGGCCTTGGCCTGGACGACGTGCGTGGGGATAAGGTGCGCATCTTCCGTGCTGAGAAGTCGTACGCGGTCACGTCTGGGAAGTGGTACTTTGAGTTTGAGGCAGTGACGACCGAAGAGATGAGAGTGGGCTGGGCCCGACCCAACGTCAGGGCTGACAATGAGCTGGGAGCAGACGAGCTGGCCTGGGTCTTCAACGGAAAAACGGTATGTCACAATCACTGGCTGTCTAGAGCTGGGTTAGGCTAGGGCAACACAGGGTCATCCATTAACGGATGATGAACAACAGAGACGATTCTCTGGGAAAGGGTGTCTACCCATGCTACTCGCCCAAACACATGATGAAGGAATAAACGAGTTAATGTGTCTTTGTGTATCCGTAGGCCTAGAATCTTTACCAAGCCATTAGTCCAGAGATGTTTTTTTTTTTTTTATGATTCTTTACCAAACCAGTGTATTCACATTTACATTTTAGTCATTTAGCAGACGCTCTTATCCAGAGCGACTTACAGTTAGTGAGTGCATACATTTTTCATACTGTATTAATACATTTTAGTTTACTTTTTCATAGTTTCATATTTATATTACAGTTTCTTTTTTTTATTTTTTTACAATTTTGAATTGTTTTGTCCCCCGGCCCGCGGGCCGTGGGTAAACCCCTTGGGCCCCCAGTGGCATCAGGTGAAGTGGGGTGTATGATCGACCTGACCGAACAGAACATTATGTTCACCCTAAAACGGAAGGGGTTCATCGCGACTCGGCTCCGAGGGTTTTCAAGGACAAGGATGGAGAAGGTAAGAGTGGTGTTGTCAGGGTTTTCAATATACACGGAGGGGGTTTTGGGGAGTTACAGGGTGGTTTTAATACGGGCGTGGGGGCTCTGGGGAGCTACGGGGGGTTTTTAATAAGGCTGTAGGGGCCCGGGTGGGGCTCAGGGGGGTTTAATAAGGGGTGTAGGGGTGGGGGGGAGTAAGGGTGGTTTTTTAAATAAGGTGGTATGGGTTGGGGGCTACAGGGTGGTTTAATACGTTGTATGGGTCTGGGGAGTACAGGGTGGTTTAATACAGGCTGTAGGGGTATGGGGAGCTACAGGGTGGTTTTAATACAGGCTGTAGGGTCTGGGGTAGCTACAGGGTGGTTTAATACAGGCTGTAGGGGTCTGGGGAGCTACAGGGTGGTTTAATACAGGCTGTATGGGTCTGGGGAGCTACAGGGTGGTTTAATACAGTCTGTATGGGTCTGGGGAGCTACAGGGTGGTTTAATACAGGCTGTAGGGGTCTGGGGAGCTACAGGGTGGTTCAATACAGGCTGTATGGGTCTAGGGAGCTACAGGGTGGTTTAATACAGGCTGTATGGGGTCTGGGGAGCTACAGGGTGGTTTAATACAGGCTGTAGGGGTCTGGGGAGCTACAGGGTGGTTTAATACAGGCTGTAGGGGTCTGGGGAGCTACAGGGTGGTTTAATACAGGCTGTATGGGTCTGGGGAGCTACAGGGTGGTTTAATACAGGCTGTATGGGTCTGGGGAGCTACAGGGTGGTTTAATACAGGCTGTATGGGTCTGGGGAGCTACAGGGTGGTTTAATACAGGCTGTAGGGGTCTGGGGAGCTACAGGGTGGTTTAATACAGGCTGTAGGGGTCTGGGGAGCTACAGGGTGGTTTAATACAGGCTGTAGGGGTCTGGGGAGCTACAGGGTGGTTTAATACAGGCTGTAGGGGTCTGGGTAGCTACAGGGTGGTTTAATACAGGCTGTAGGGGTATGGGGAGCTACAGGGTGGTTTAATACAGGCTGTAGGGGTCTGGGTAGCTACAGGGTGTGCAGCGGTATCACACATGGTTCCATCCCAGCGGTATCACACATGGTTCCATCCCAGCGGTATCACACATGGTTCCATCCCAGTGGTATCACACATGGTTCCATCCCAGCGGTATCACACATGGTTCCATCCCAGCGGTATCACACATGGTTCCATCCCAGTGGTATCACACATGGTTCCATCCCAGCGGTATCACACATGGTTCCATCCCAGCGGTATCACACATGGTTCCATCCCAGCGGTATCACACATGGTTCCATCCCAGCGGTATCACACATGGTTCCATCCCAGTGGTATCACACATGGTTCCATCCCAGCGGTATCACACATGGTTCCATCCCAGTGGTATCACACATGGTTCCATCCCAGCGGTATCACACATGGTTCAACCATTAGTTGATGGTTTAAACAAGGTGCGCCAGTGCTGGGCTGGATTAGAATGCTGCATGCACTACAGATCTCCAGGACCTGGGTCAGAACGTGAACTCTCCTTCAACTCCGTTTCCCTATGGGCCCTGGTCAAAAGCAGTGCACTATATAGGGAACCTAACTCTCCCCTTCTACCTCTCCAGGCTTCATCCCAGTGTGTACCCTGGGCCTGTCTCAGGTGGGCAGGATCAACCTGGGTCAGAACGTCAGCAGCCTGCGTTACTTCGCCATCTGTGGTCTCCAGGAGGGCTTCGAACCGTTCGCCATCAACATGAAGAGAGACATTACCATGTGGTTCAGCAAGAGCCTGCCACAGTTCGCCCCCGTGCCAACTAACCACCAACATATTGAGGTACTGACCCAATAACCACCAACATATTGAGGTACTGACCCAAAAACCACCAACACGTTGAGGTAGTTGACCCACTAACCAACAACACATTGAGATACTGACCCAATAACCACCAACACATTGAGGTAGCTTACCCAATAACCACCAACACATTGAGGTACTGACCCAATAACCACCAACACAGTGAAGTAGCTGACCAACTAACCACCAACACATTGAGGTACTGACCTACTTACCACCAACACATTGAGGTACTGACCCAATAACGACCAGTACATTGAGATACTCACCCAATAACCGCCAGTACATTGAGACACTGACCCAATAACCACCAACACATTGAGGTACTGACCCACTAAACACCAACACATAATAATAATAATAATAATATGCCATTTAGCAGACGCTTTTATCCAAAGCGACTTACAGTCATGCGTGCATACATTTTTGTGTATGGGTGGTCCCGGGGATCGAACCCACTACCTTGGCGTTTCAAGCGCCGTGCTCTACCAGCTGAGCTACAGAGGACCACTGAGGTACACATTGAGGTAGCTGACCCAATAACCACCAACACATAGAGGTACTGACCCAATAACCACCAACACATAGAGGTACTGACCCAATAACCACCAACACATAGAGGTACTGACCCAATAACCACCAACACATTGAGGTACTGACCCAATAACCACCAACACATAGAGGTACTGACCCAATAACCACCAACACATTATGATATTATATAATATATGCCATTTAGCAGACACTTTTATGCAAAGCGACTTTCATTCATGCGTGCATACATTTTAAGTATTGGTTGTCCCGGGAATCGAACCCACTATCCTGGCGAACTGAGCTACAGAGGACCACATTGATAACCACCAACACATTGAGGTTGCTGACCCACTAACCAGCAACACATTGGGGTACTGACCCAATAATCACCAACATATTGAGCTAGTTGACTTAATAACCACCAACACATTGAGGTACTGACCCAATAACCACCAACACATTGATGTACTGACCCAATAACCACCAGTACTTTGAGATACTGACCCACTAACCACCAACACATTGAGGTAAGACCCACTAACCACCAGCACATTGATGTACTGACCCAATAACCACAAACACATTGATGTACTGACCCAATAACCACAAACACATTGAGGTAGCTGACCCAATAATCATCAACACATTGAGGTACTGACCCATATACAGACAGACTAAGGATACTATGATTTGGGTATCATGTATCAGACTAGGGATACTAAGATTTGGGGTATCATGTATCATACAGCGTTCGTTGAGTCTAACTTATTGAAATCAAATCAAACTTTATTTATATAGCACATTTCTTACAACAAATTAATTTCAAGGTGCTTTCAGCTTTATTTAGAAAGGGAATCATCATCATTTAGTTAGAGAGGCTTTATTTAGAGAGGGAATCATCATAATTTAGTTAGAGAGGCTTTATTTAGAGAGGGAATCATCATAATTTAGTTAGAGAGGCTTTATTTAGAGAGGGAATCATCTCGCCACTTTGAGGAACTGTACTTGACCCCTAAAATGAAATGTGACTTAAGTGTTTCTTATATACAGTAGGAGCTACATGTATTGAGTAAAACCCATTGTAGAGATATGATACTTCCAGAGGAGGTTGATTGCAGGTAGGTATGACTTGAGATATGCAACAACAGTTTTGCAGGAGGTTCTAGTTATTTTTTTATTTATTTAACCTTTATTTAACCAGGAAGGGCTCATTGAGATTTAAAATCTCTTTTTCAAGAGCGTCCTGGCCAAGATAGGCAGCACCAAGTCATTACAAAAAATTACAGACAGACAACATGAAAAACTACAAGTAATCTAGTAAAAACCATTCATGAATTCACAAGAGTATAACAATATCAAAAACAGCAAATTTAAAAACATTGACAGGTCAGGGAATCAGCCTCAAAATCCTTCATCAGAGATTTAAAAACACCAATCGGGACAAGTTCTTCCAGTTTAAAATTATTTTGTAAGGTGTTCCAAGACGATGGCGCAGAGTACATAAAAGACCTTTTACCAAATTCAGTTCGGACATTTGGAACAGTTAGCAGGATAAAGTCCAGTGAACGAAGAGAGTACCCACCACATTTCTGAACAATAAAAATGCCCAAATAAAAAGGTAGTAAACCCAAAATGGCTTTGTAAATAAAAGTATACCAGTGACTGAGCCTACGAGTGACTAGAGAAGGCCAGCCAACCCTGGTATACAAAGTACAGTGGTGCGTAAGGGTTTTGCAGTTTAAAATAAATCTCAAAGTACCATGGTAAAGAGTGTCAATTGATCTCAAACACTGAGCGGAAGCATTCATATATAAAATATCCCCATAGTCTAGTAAAGGCATAAATGTAGCTGATACTAGCCTCCTTCTGGCTTCAAAAGAAAAACAGGCCTTATTCCTAAAATAAAATCCCAATTTCAGCTTCAATTTTTTTGTAAGTTGTTGAATATGCAATTTAAAAGAGAGGCCGTCATCAATTAGAATTCCAAGATATTTATATGAGGTTACAACCTCAATCTCCTTGCCCTGACAGGTAGTAACAGGTGAAAGGTTCAGAGGTCTATTTCTTGCATTAGAAAACACCATTAGTTTAGTTTTGTCAGTATTGAGGATAAGCTTCAATTGACACAAGGTATGTTGAACAGTATAAAAAGCAGTTTGCAAGTTCTGGAAAGCTTTTGTAAGAGATGAGGCACAACAGTAAATAACAGTATCATCAGCATAAAAATGAAGTTGTGCATTTTGGACATTTTTGTCTAAATCATTAATATAAATAGTGAATAAGAGAGGACCAAGTACAGAGCCCTGGGGCACACCATTCAGGACAGACAATTTAACAGACATAAGCCCATCAAATTGAGTGCACTGAGTTCTATCAGACAGATAGTTAGCAAACCATGCAACTGCATGCTCCGAAAGACCTACACTCAACAATCTCTGCCTTAGTATAGCATGATCAACTGTATCAAAAGCCTTAGAGAGATCAATAAAAAGTGAGACACAGTGCTGTTTTTTGTCAAGGGCTTCAGTGATATCATTTAAAACCTTCATGGCTGCTGTAATTGTGCTATGCTTCTTCCTGAAGCCCGATTGATACATTGATAAAATAGAGTTAGTAAATAAAAACTCTTTTAGCTGTTCACTTACAAGGGTTTCAAGTATTTTCACCAGGGGTGACAGCTTTGAGATTGGCCTATAATTATTTAAAAGAGTTGGATCTCCCCCTTTTAAAAGTGGTAGGACAAATGCTGATTTCCAGATCTTTGGAATTTCATTACATTCCAGGGTTAGATTGAACAGATATGTAAGTGGTTCAGCTATGAAATCAGCTGCCAGATTTAAAAAGCAGGGATCCAAAAGATCAGGACCTGCAGGCTTTCTTTGATCTAAGGATTTCAGGGCTTTATGTACCACCTGCACTGAGAATGGCAGAAAACTAAAAGTTTGACCAGCTCTCACTGGTTCATCCACACAGGGTTGTACAGAGACAGAGGACACTGGTTCATCCACACAGGGTTGTACAGAGACAGAGGACACTGAATCAAACAGCCTACCAGATGATACAAAGTGCTCATTGAAACAATTCAGCATTTCAGTTTTGTCATATATAGCAACAGAGTCCTTCAAAACACATGACGGTAATTCATTAACATTACTGTTACCAGACATAGACTTAATAGCATTCCAAAACTTTCTAGGGTCATTCAGGTTATCAGTGGTAACAGACATAAAATATTCAGACTTGGCCTTCCTGAGAAGAAAAGAACACTTGTTTCTTAACTGCCTAAAAATAAGCCAATCAGCATCAGAACAAGATTTCCTTGCTTTAGCCCAGGCTAGATTACGGTCGTGAATAATACAAGACAGCTCAGAAGAAAACCATGGATTATCCCGCCCTTTAACCCTGAACCTGCGGAATGGTGCATGTTTGTTTACTATTTGGAAAAAACCATCATGAAAGAATATCCAGGCAGTTTCCACATCAGGGATAAGCTCAATCTTGCTCCAGTCAAAATAAAACAAATCATGAAAGAAAGCCTGCTCATTAAAACACTTCAAATTTCTCTTACGAATAAAACGTGGATTTGTCTTTGGAACCTTAGTATTTCTAACAGCAACAACAGCACAATGGTCACTTAAATCATTACAAAAAACACCAACCGCAGAATATTTATGTGGAACATTTGTCAATATCAAATCAATCAGGGTAGATTTATCAGGGCATTTAAGATTTGGGCGAGTGGGTGAATTAATCAACTGGGTAAGATTCATAGAATTACAAAACATTTTTAAATCATCAGACACCGGCTTTAACCAACACCAGTTGAGATCACCAATCAAGATCATTTCACTGTAAAGAAGTTTAGACATAAGGTGCGTCAAAGAAGAAAATGCATCACCAAGAGCAGAGGGGGGTCTATAACAGCCAATCACAGTTATAGAGAGGCCCTTTGAAACCTCAATATTCAAAGCAAGAAATTCCAACTGTTTACAAATAGTTTCAGACTTTGCCACACTTACATGGAATTTAGATTTTACATATATAGCCACACCCCCACCTTTCTTAACCCGATCTGCACGATAAACATTGTAACCACTTATACAAATATCCTTATCAAAAATAGACTTGCTGAGCCAGGTTTCCGAAAACACAATTACATCAGCATCAGTTGATTTAGCCCAAATCCTAACCCCATCAATTTTTGACAACAGGCTGCGTACATTTAAATGAAAAATACCAAAACCAGATCTTGATTTAAAATCAGAGGGGGTTTGGAGACATTGCATATCAGGGCCAGGGTTAGGTTGCACGTTACCTGATATCAACAACAGAAGAATAACTAGGCACCTCTGTTTAATAACCTTGCACGGCTTCTCTTTTTTAAGAGACCTACTGCAAGCGAATTCTACAAGTGAGTTTCCAGACAATACAAAACAGTCATTTAAAACCATTAGACTTTGGTAGTGACACAAATTCGTACTGTTCACATCATGCCACAAATGCATCGGCACTTGGACGAGTGGACCGAGTGAAAAAGAGCGAGTTCCTGCAGACAAAATGTCTAATGGACGCGAGAGTACATTGTCAGATGTACTCACCCTGCGACAATGTTCGTTTTCTCCAGAGTTCAATAAAGTCAGTGCACAAAGCAATACCACGTAAATTGTCATTTTCTCTGACCAAAAAACAAGAGGCCAACGAAGGTAAGTGGAGAGAGGGACAGCGTGTATGTGAGTCAATGTGAGTGTTTGCGCGTGTGAGTAGATTGGGTGTTGAGGGCGATAGAGAGAACGGGTTGAGCTGCCACTGACAGCCAGGCGAAGAGCAAGGAGCAGCTCGGACAAGACACTCCGCGGACTAACGAGGAACTCAGGCCAGCCAGAGATAGGGTTACTTTGGTAAACTTCAAGTAATGAAGTTCCGAGTTGAGGAGGACCCGTGATCTTTACACCAGCAAAAATAAAATAGTTTGCACTACGCAACAACGAAGTTACGCAACCATAAATAAATAGATTATTAGTAGGTTAAAATGTACTAGTCACAAACAAACGACTTGACAAACGACTTGACATGCTGCCATCTTGGATGAGAGTGGAGGGAGCATCTTGACATGCTGCCATCTAGTGATGAGACAGGAGGTTTCTTTAGTGATCTAGGAGTTTTCTTGTATTTCCCTGTCACTGTTGTTCATGGAGCTCTCTTCTTCTCTCCCCTCCAGGTGTCACGCGTGGACGGGACAGTGGACAGTGCTCCCTGCCTGAAGCTGAGCCACAGGACATTCGGCTCCCAGAACGCCAACACTGACATGCTGTTCCTCCGCCTGAGCATGCCCGTGGAGTTTGACGAAGTCTTCAAGATCCCAGCCGGGACCACGCCCCTGACCCACAAGTTGACCATCCACGAGGATGAGGTTCTGGAGGTGGAGCCGGACTCAGAGTTTGAGGTTCTGAAGAAGTCGGCCAGTAAGAAGGAGCAGGAAGAGAAGGAAAAGGAACCATCTGTCGCCAAGGAGACGCCCGAGATAGAGAAGGACACGGTGTCAGAGAAGGGCAAGAAGAGAGGGTTAGTAATGACTGATGGGGATGTGTAGAGGAGAACAGAGGGTTAGGAGTGACTGATGGGGATGTGTAGAGGAGAACAGAGGGTTAGGAGTGACTGATGGGGATGTGTAGAGGAGAACAGAGGGTTAGGAGTGACTGATGGGGATGTGTAGAGGAGAACAGAGGGTTAGGAGTGACTGATGGGGATGTGTAGAGGAGAACAGAGGGTTAGGAGTGACTGATGGGGATGTGTAGAGGAGAACAGAGGGTTAGGAGTGACTGATGGGGATGTGTAGAGGAGAACAGAGGGTTAGGAGTGACTGATGGGGATGTGTAGAGGAGAACAGAGGGTTAGGAGTGACTGATGGGGATGTGTAGAGGAGAACAGAGGGTTAGGAGTGACTGACGGGGATGTGTAGAGGAGAACAGAGGGTTAGGAGTGACTGACGGGGATGTGTAGAGGAGAACAGAGGGTTAGGAGTGACTGACGGGGATGTGTAGAGGAGAACAGAGGGTTAGGAGTGACTGATGGGGATGTGTAGAGGAGAACAGAGGGTTAGGAGTGACTGACGGGGATGTGTAGAGGAGAACAGAGGGTTAGGAGTGACTGATGGGGATGTGTAAAGGAGAACAGAGGGTTAGGAGTGACTGATGGGGATGTGTAGAGGAGAACAGAGGGTTAGGATTGACTGATGGGGATGTGTAGAGGAGAACAGAGGGTTAGGAGTGACTGATGGGGATGTGTAGAGGAGAACAGAGGGTTAGGAGTGACTGATGGGGATGAGTAGAGGAGAACAGAGGGTTAGGAGTGACTGATGGGGATGTGTAGAGGAGAACAGAGGGTTAGGAGTGACTGATGGGGATGTGTAAAGGAGAACAGAGGGTTAGGAGTGACTGATGGGGATGTGTAGAGGAGAACAGAGGGTTAGGAGTGACTGATGGGGATGTGTAGAGGAGAACAGAGGGTTAGGAGTGACTGATGGGGATGTGTAAAGGAGAACAGAGGGTTAGGAGTGACTGATGGGGATGTGTAGAGGAGAACAGAGGGGTTAGGTGTGACTGATGGGGATGTGTAGAGGAGAACAGAGGGTTAGGAGTGACTGACGGGGATGTGTAGAGGAGAACAGAGGGTTTAGGAGTGACTGACGGGGATGTGTAGAGGAGAACAGAGGGTTAGGAGTGACTGATGGGGATGTGTAGAGGAGAACAGAGGTAAGGGTGATGATGGGGATGTGTAGAGGAGAACAGAGGGTTAGGAGTGACTGATGGGGATGTGTAGAGGAGAACAGAGGGTTAGGAGTGACTGATGGGGATGTGTAGAGGAGAACAGAGGGTTAGGAGTGACTGATGGGGATGTGTAGAGGATAACAGAGGGTTAGGAGTGACTGATGGGGATGTGTAGAGGAGAACAGAGGGTTAGGAGTGACTGATGGGGATGTGTAGAGGAGAACAGAGGGTTAGGAGTGACTGATGGGGATGTGTAGAGGAGAACAGAGGGTTAGGAGTGGACTGATGGGGATGTGTAGAGGAGAACAGAGGGTTAGGAGTGACTGATGGGGATGTGTAGAGGAGAACAGAGGGTTAGGAGTGACTGATGGGGATGTGTAGAGGAGAACAGAGGGTTAGGAGTGAACTGATGGGGATGTGTAGAGGAGAACAGAGGGTTAGGAGTGACTGATGGGGATGTGTAAAGGAGAACAGAGGGTTAGGAGTGACTGATGGGGATGTGTAAAGGAGAACAGAGGGTTAGGAGTGACTGATGGGGATGTGTAAAGGAGAACAGAGGGTTAGGAGTGACTGATGGGATGTGTAAAGGAGAACAGAGGGTTAGGAGTGACTGATGGGGATGTGTAGAGGAGAACAGAGGGTTAGGAGTGACTGATGGGGATGTGTAGAGGAGAACAGAGGGTTAGGGAGTGACTGATGGGGATGTGTAGAGGAGAACAGAGGGTTAGGAGTGACTGATGGGGATGTGTAGAGGAGAACAGAGGGTTAGGAGTGACTGATGGGGATGTGTAGAGGAGAACAGAGGGTTAGGAGTGACTGTGGGATGTGTGAGAACGAGGTTAGGAGTGACTGATGGGGATGTGTAGAGGAGAACAGAGGGTTAGGAGTGACTGATGGGGATGTGTAGAGGAGAACAGAGGGTTAGGAGTGACTGATGGGGATGTGTAGAGGAGAACAGAGGGTTAGGGGTGACTGATGGGGATGTGTAAAGGAGAACAGAGGGTTAGGAGTGACTGATGGGGATGTGTAGAGGAGAACAGAGGGTTAGGAGTGACTGATGGGGATGTGTAGAGGAGAACAGAGGGTTAGGAGTGACTGATGGGGATGTGTAGAGGAGAACAGAGGGTTAGGAGTGACTGATGGAGATGTGTAGAGGAGAACAGAGGGTTAGGAGTGACTGATGGGATGTGTAAAGGAGAACAGAGGGTTAGGAGTGACTGATGGGGATGTGTAGAGGAGAACAGATGGTTAGGAGTGACTGATGGGGATGTGTAGAGGAGAACAGAGGGTTAGGAGTGACTGATGGGATGTGTAGAGGAGAACAGAGGGTTAGGAGTGACTGACGGGGATGTGTAGAGGAGAACAGAGGGTTAGGAGTGACTGACGGGGATGTGTAGAGGAGAACAGAGGGTAGAGATGCGGATCATTAAGGAAAGGGATAGCAGAGACTTACAGCTGGTAGTCAGCTACAGAGAGAAGATAAATAAGTCAAATAGAATGTGTTCTCTTATCTGGTTACACGAAGGCAAATAAATACATCAGACTCCGCTGTGTGTCCAGGTTATTTGCTAGGGCTAAGAAGGCGGCTACGATCAACCCTCCCCCGACCCCTCCCCTGGTGCCACGGTTACAGCAGGACGTGGTCCCAGATGACAGAGATGATGTGGAGATTATCCAGAACACCACCACGGTGAACACACACACACACACACACACACACCACTACAAACTCAAGGCAATCCTGGGAATGTAAATGTTTTATTGGATCCCTGGGAAGGTTAACTGGAACCCTAATCATTACTGTTCCTTATTTCCATGGTCTCTTCGTAGTATCCCCAGTATGTACCTTAACTCTGAATGTCCCTCCCCCTGCATCTCTGCAGTACTACTACTCAGTGAGGATCTTCGCCGGCCAGGAGCCCAGTGGGGTGTGGATTGGCTGGGTAACCCCCGACTACCACATGTACGACCCCACCTTTGATCTCTCCAAGGTCCGGAACGTCACCTTAACCGTGGGAGACGACAAGGGCAACATCCACGACAGGTGAGTGACCTCACACGTCTACCTGGACGGATATTACACCCATGTTTCACTGTCTCTGTGTTAAGTTTAGGGATTTCTAGAAATACATTGATTTGTATTGTCTTTGTAGTGATCCCTTTGTCCCTACAGTATGAAGCATAGGAACTGCTATATGGTCTGGGGAGGAGAGGTTATAGATGTCAATAACAGGTTATAACTGGTCTGTGTCTACCGTATGAAGAATATTAACTGCTATATGGTCTGGGGAGGAGAGGTTATAGATGTCAATAACTGGTTATAACTGGTCTGTGTCTACCGTATGAAGAATATTAACTGCTATATGGTCTGGGGAGGAGAGGTTATAGATGTCAATAACAGGTTATAACTGGTCTGTGTCTACAGTATGAAGCATAGTAACTGCTATATGGTCTGGGGTGGAGACTTCGGCAGCAGCTCCCAGCAGGCCAGGTTCAGCCAGGAGGACACTGTGGTTGGCTGCCTGGTTGACCTGGCAACAGGCCTCATGACCTTCACAGCCAATGGGAAGGAGATAAACACCTTCTACCAGGTGTGTGTGTGTGTGTGTGTGTGTGTGTGTGTGTGTGTGTGTGTGTGTGTGGTGAGACTCCTGTGCACATGTTGGCTATGTCACTGAGGATGACTGGGTGGTTGTTGTTGACAGAGGTTTTTTGTTTGTTCCAGGTGGAGCCCAACACAAAGCTGTTTCCTGCTGTGTTCGTCCAGCCCTCCAGTCAGAACATGGTACAGCTGGAGCTGGGGAAACTCAAGGTCAGAACCCTCCTCTTCCTCCTCCTCCCCCTTCCTCCTCCTCCACATCCTCCTCATGTCTATGACCATACCACTGTGATGCCCTTATTGAGATGTCTATGACCATACCACTGTCATGTCTTTTTCTCACTACTTCTTCTCTCTTCTCCTCTCAGAACATCATGCCCATCTCGGCAGCCATGTTCCGTAGTGAGCGTAAGAACCCAGTGCCCCAGTGCCCACCACGGCTGGACATCCAGATGTTGACCCCCGTCATCTGGTCCCGCATGCCCAACCACTTCCTGGACCCAGAGGTCGGCAGGGTCAGCGAGAGGCTGGGCTGGATGGTGGAGTGCACCGAACCACTCACCATGATGGCCCTGCATATACCTGAGGAGAACAGGTTAGATACAACACACCGTCCGCACTAGCCCTAGCCCTGAGACAATACACTAGCCCTAGCCCTGAGACAATATACTAGCCCTAACGCCTTGTCATGATGGCCCTGTACATACCAGAGGAGAACTGGTTAGAGATAGACTGTACACTACAGGGTTGGGCTCAATTCAGTTAGCAACATTGGGATATTGTCATAGACAACTTTTGGGCCATTTTCAATTAATTACTTTTCAAAATTGTTTTAATCGTTTTAATAATCTTTGCAAATACTGTAAATATACAATAGCCCAACAGTTGATTGAGATGTTTAGGTTAGGTATAGCTCAACTTACCCATATATCAAAGACACTGAAATACATGGATTTGGACTAAAATCAGAAAATAAACAATTACATTAGCAACGGTCATCGAAATTGTTAAAAGGTTTTAAAAACAATTCTAATAAATGCAACAGTTGGACAATGGATGAAGATACTCCAAACTTTTAGAATTGTTATAATCCATCAGATATTGATTGAATTGAGCAAATAAAACATTTTACTGGCACAGAAAACATTTGACCGACTGCCTCGATTCGGTCTTATGTAACAACATTTGAAATGTTGGATAAAAGTAGAGACTCAGAGCTTGCAGTTGAGGAACAATGGGAAAGTAATTCTGCTTTGAAAGTTGTTAAACATGTAACCCCACTTTTGAGAAAATGGTCCTTGAATGTTTTGGTACACCTACTGGAGAGCTCTTCTTTGTCTAAACCCATTCAGCATCGTTCCCACCCTCTTAAGCCTTAGCCCCACCCATCTCTTTAAGGATTCACATGTGAGGCCATGTGCTAAACAGAGTGACTAGTGTAGTAAACAACCAAAGATTAAGACTAAAAGTGGTAAAAGTAGTCGCCTACAATAAGGGAAAACTCCAGGTAAAAATACACTTTATCTAGTCCTTGGCCGATATCCCAATCTGATTTTGGTGCAGGTCATGTTGTTCTCCACATTACCCTCTCTGGTAAACACACACTATATCAAATAAAATCTAAGTGTATTTGTCACATGCACAGGATACAGAAGGTGTAAACGGTACAGTGAAATGGTTACTTGCATAGTAGCAATATCAAAACCAGAAAGTGTCCAGATTTAAATATTTTAGAAATATTTGATCATTATTAAATGACGCTTATAGCTGTGCAGTGAACTCCCTGCACTCACCTGCTCTGTCCACCCCACCTGCACTCACCTGCTCTGTCCACCCCACCTGCCCACACCTGCTCTGTCCACCCCACCTGCCCTCACCTGCTCTGTCCACCCCACCTGCACTCACCTGCTCTGTCCACCCCACCTGCACTCACCTGCTCTGTCCACCCCACCTGCACTCACCTGCTCTGTCCACCCCACCTGCACTCACCTGCTCTGTCCACCCTACCTGCACTCACCTGCTCTGTCCACCCCACCTGTCCTCACCTGCTCTGTCCACCCTACCTGTCCTCACCTGCTCTGTCCACCCTACCTGTCCTCACCTGTGCCTGCTAGACTGCCTCATTAATTACTGTTGTCACTCTCTCTTGCATAATTCAACAAGTGTGTCAATAGCAGGATACGCTCCGATTAAAAATAATATTTTTCTTCTCTTTCGTGTAAGTGTCGAGACGGTTACATCCCCGATAAAGCGTTAGTTCTTACAGATTCAAGGGTAACACAATGTATTCCATTGAGCCCATTTCAGCCGTTACAGTGGTGTGTCTGACAGGTCATTAAAAACATTTCCTCGGTCGCAACGTTAACGGGAAAAAAACTAAAAAAGGCACAAGCAAGAGTATGAAAGAGTCGCAGGAGCACAATGAAAGCAATCAATCCAGCAGGACTTAAGTGACAAGTGTATTTAGTACCCCTCAAAACAGGAAATAGATGGCTGATAAAGACAGATCCTCAGGAGGGCGGCGCTGTTGAATTGCACACAATTATGATGAGAAGACTGAAAGAGTCTTATTGATTGGCTGTTAGAAGTAGAGTATGGGGGAATTTCTTGTGTTTCTCTCAGTCATGTGGAACAGAGGAGGTGGGTGGTCCTCGACAGGCAGGTACTGTATGAGTATTCAGGGTTGGGTAAGTTACTTTCTAAATGTCATTTGTTACAGTTACTAGTTACCTGTCCAAAATTGTAATCAGTAATGTAACTTTTGGATTACCCAAACCCAGTAATGTAATCTGATTACTTTGGTTACTTTTAGATTACTTTCCCCTTAAGAGGCATTAGAAGAAGACAAAAAATGAATATTACCAATTGAAGTGACATCTATTGCAGGATAAATCAATGTTAGAGTTTACATAGCTGGACATATATGTATGTTGTGTTTTACTTTATGGGCTGGTTATGTAGGCTTCTTCTAACCCATTACTTTCAGATAATAATACGATTAGGCTATAGCTTTACATTAAAAACCAAAGTATGTCAGATTTCCAGTCATTCCAATTAATTTAATATCAATCAATCAAATGTGATTTATAAAGCCCTTTTTACATCAGCAGATGTCACAAAGTGCTATACAGAAACCCAGCCTAAAACCCCAAACAGCAAGCAATGCAGATGTAGAAGCACGGTGGCTAGGAAAAACTCCCTAGAAAGGCAGAAACCTAGGAAGAAACCTAGAGAGGAACCAGGCTCTGAGGGGTGGCCAGTCCTCTTCTGGCTGTGCCGGGTGGAGATTATAACAGTACATGGCCATGAAGGCCAGATTTTTCTCCAAGATGTTCAAACGTTCATAGATGACCAGCAGGGTCAAATAATTATCACAGTGGTTGTAGAGGTTGCAACAGGTCTGTACATCAGGAGTAAACGTCACTTGGCTTTTCATAGCCGGGCATTTAGAGGTTGAAATAGCAGGTGCGGTAGAGAGAGAGAGTTGAAAACAGCAGGTCTGGGACAAGGTAGCACGTCCGGTGAACAGGTCAGGGTTCCATAGCCGCAGGCAGAAGAGTTGAAACTGGAGCAGCAGCACGACCAGGTGGACTGGGGACAGCAAGGAGTCATCAGGCCAGGTAGTCCTGAGGCATGGTCCTAGGGCTCAGGTCCTCCGGGAAGTTAGAGAGAGAGAGAGAATTAGAGGGAGCATACTTAAATTCACACAGGACACCAGATAAGACAGGAGAATAACACCAGATATAACAGACTGACCCTAGCCCCCCCCCCCGGCACTTGATCTTCAAGAATAGGACTTGGAAATATAGATTAGCCAAATTGTTTTACCTGAGCATAACCCCAAATACAAATCATTTATTAGCCTAATCTGTTGTCATGAGCCTAATCTGTATACAGTGAGGGGAAAAAAGTATTTGTTCCCCTGCTGATTTTGTACGTTTGCCCACTGATAAAGACATGATCAGTCTATAATTTTAATGGTAGGTTTATTTGAACAGTGAGAGACAGAATAACAACAAAAAAATCCAGAAAAACGCTTGTCAATAATGTTATGAATTTATTTGCATTTTAATGAGGTAAATAAGTAAGCCTCGTGACCGGGAGACCCATGAGGCGGACAATTGGCCCAGTGTCGTCCGGGTCAGGGGAGGGTTTGGCCAGTCGGGATTTCCTTGTCCCATCACGCTCTAGCGACTCCTTGTGGCGGGCCGGGTGCCTTCAAGCTGACTTCGGTCGCCAGCTAGACGGTGTTTCCTCCGACACATTGGTGCGGCTGGCTTCCGGGTTAAGCGTGCAGTGTGTCAAGAAGCAGTGCGGCTTGGCAGGGTCGTGTATCGGAGGACGCATGGCTCTCGACCTTCGCCTCTCCCGAGTCCGTAGGGGAGTTGCAGCGATGGGACAAGACTGTAACTACCAATTGGATATCTTGAAATTGGGGAGAAAAAGGGGTAAAAGTCCCCCAAAAATAATTTCAAAAATTATGCCATAAATCAATGGTGCTACCGGTCAATGATTTTAGAGACCGGTATAATGATGATTTAAATGGTTTGACCATCCAGATCTGTTTACACTTGATTGATATCCAGGAACAATGGGTCCCTGACTACCTCCGGAGGTGGTCATGAAGATCAGATCATAATGCATCTTTTAGTCGTCTACACCTGTCAAAAAATGTGTCCACAATCAGAATGTGGACAAGATCAAGAAAAAGGAACCGGGTATAAAAAGGGCCACGGAGGACTGATTGGGCTCATTGCTTCGAGTTGAAAAAATAAATGGTGTTCTCATGGAATGGCTTTGAGCACTACAGAAAAGTGCAATTTGCATGTGAAAAATGTCGCTCTAGGCCTTTTTGTTTATGTTATATTTACATGTAACACTTTACTCCCCAACCCTGCGTATATTGAGAGGGTGTAACGGTTCTGATCCGTCCCTGTAGGTGTATAGACATCCTGGAGTTGTCTGAGCGGCTGGACCTACTGAAGTTCCACTTCCACACTCTGATGCTGTACTGCGCTGTCTGTGCCCTGGGCAACAACCGTGTAGCACACGCCCTCTGCTCACATGTCGACGAATCACAGCTCTTCTACGCAATGGAGAACACCTACCTGCCCGGCCCCCTCCGCAGCGGGTACAGATCTGATTGATTGATTTGATTTGTTTTATCTCAGTGTCTTACACCATTGGGTGCCCAGCCCAAAATGGGCTTACTTACAAGACACTATTCAAAAAAATACTTGTGCACAAAACAAATGTACAACTTAATAATTCCTATTGTCAACCTCTCCGTCTCCAGGTAATATGACCTTTGACCTTTAACCTCTCCCTGTCCAGGTTCTACGACCTGCTGATCTCCATCCACCTGGAGTCAGCCAAGCGGGCACGGCTGGGCACCAACCGGGAGTTCATCGTGCCCATGTCCCCCGAGACGCTGAGCATCACCCTGTACCCTGATGCTGAGAAGGCCTCCGACCTCCCGGGTGTCGGGTTAACTACCTGTCTCAGGCCCAAGCTGCACTTCTCAGCCATCAACTTTGTTGGGACGGACCCCGACCTGTACACTCTCAGCCCTGTATTCCCTCTGCAGGTAATTCACTTCAGATCACATCACTCTGTTGTTCCTATCCCGCCCAGTGAGTGAGAGCTTCTTGTGTGGCTTTGGTACATGATGTACAAATTAAGGTAAATTAAGGTAAGGGCTCTTTTGGCTGAATCTGGTGTATGTACAGACATTTGTTTAAACCCCTGTAGGTCTAAGCCAGTGGTAGTCACTGATATTTCTGAGGGAGCCACTTTTGTTAAACAAAATCACTGGGGGCGAGTCTCCAATCCCATCGGAGAGCGGGGGTTTGGGGGCTTGGGGGTCGCAAAGTCAAATGGATTCATACATGATATTTAAGATACTACTACCATGAACGATCAAGCTACACTACATGACCAAAAGTACGTGGACACCTGCTCGTCGAACATCTCATTCCAAAATCATGGGCATTAATATGAAGTTGGTCCCCCCTTTGCTGCTATAACAGCCTCCACTCTTCTGGGAAGGCTTTCCACTAGATGTTGGAACATTGCTGCGGGGACTTGCTTTCATTCAGCCACAAGAGCACTAGTGAGGTTGGACACTGATGTTGTTGGGTGATTAGGCCTGGCTCACAGTCGGCGTTCCAATTCATCTCAAAGTTATTCGATGGGGTTGAGGTCAGGGCTGTGTGCAGGCCAGTTAATTTCTTCCACACCGATCTCGACAAACCATTTCTGTATGGACCTCGCTTTGTGCACGGGGTCATTGTCATGCTGAAACAGGAAAGGGCCTTCCCCAAACTGTTGCCACAAAGTTGGAAGCATAGAATCGTCTAGAACGTCATTGTATGCTGTAGTGTTAAGATTTCCCTTCACTAGAACTAAGGGGCCTAGCCGTGAAAAACCATGAAAAACAATCCCAGACCATTATTCCTCCTCCACCAAACTTTACAGTTGGCACAATGCATTCGGGCAGGTAGCGTTTTCCTGGCATCCGCCAAACCCAGATTCGTCCGTCGGACTGCCAGATGTTGAAGCGTGATTCATCACTCCAGAGAGTCCAATGGCGGCAAGCTTTACACCTCTCCAGCCGACGCATGGCATTGCGCATGGTGATCTTAGGCTTGTGTGCGGCTGCTCGGCCATTGAAACCCATTTCATGACCTCCCGACGAACAGTTATTGTGCTGACGTTGCTTCCAGAGGCAGTTTGGAACTCTGTAGTGAGTGTTGCAACCGAGGACAGACTATTTTTACGAGCTTCAGCACTCTGAGTTTCTACGCGCTTCAGCGGTCCCGTTCTGTGAGCTTGTGTGGCCAACCACTTCGCGGCTGAGCCGTTGTTGCTCCTAGACGTTTCCACTTCACAATAACAGCACTTACAGCTGACCGGGGCAGCTCTAGCTGGGCTAGAAAGGTGGCATCCTATGACGGTGCCACGTTGAAAGTCACTGAGCTCTTCAGTAAGGTCATTCTACTGCCAATGTTTGTCTATAGAGATTGCATGGCTGTGTACTCGATTTTACACACCTGTCAGCAACAGGTGTGGCTGAAATAGCCGAATCCACTAATTTGAAGCGGTTTCCACATACTTTTGTATAGTGTATTTGGTTCTCTGACTCTATTTTAGGACACTTGGAGACAAATGTGTAACAATAATATGATGGATCCTTTGAATCTGACCCTATTGCCATTATCTCAATAAAAGTAATAGCACAAAGATATGTCAAATCAGGTAATGAAAAACGTTAGTCTGGAAGAAGCTTTGAAGTGATCGAAATGCATTGGAAAGATATTGAAAAGTTCAGGGATGATCGAACATTCTTTGGGTTGTTTGTGGAGAATCAATTCATTTTCCTCAAGTTATTCTGTACAGATTCATCACTCTCTCTTATAAAATGAGTCACAGCTTGTGTCATAAACAGAAGAAACATACGCGTTTCTGAGAGTCCTTTCAGGGGTCATAGTCGGTGATAACTCCAACAGTTCAAAATCTAGAGAAGGAAAATGATTTCAAGACGCTCCAAAAGCTTTTACCGCTCTGTTTGTCCCAGCTGCTGAAATCAATGGTTACTCACCAGTGGCAGTCGGTGCCGTTTATGAGCATGGCCTTATTTCTATTACAGCATATTGGATGACTGTCATTCATATTCCATTCACCCAGCTCAATGTAACACGGATAGGTTTAGGCTACTACATGACACTCAAAGTTTACAAAGTAGGTGCACAGGTCGAGAGAATTTTGAGTAATCAAAGTGACAGACAGTGACACATTCAATACCGCCTTGCACACTCTTGCCTGCATCTAGCTGATCTAGGAAGTAATCATTAGTCCAACAGTTGCAATTGGACAAATTCAGGTATGTTTATCCCCATTTAGTTCCGTATGCTTCTGTTTAAGGAATACACCCCTGATCACACGCAAACACAGTTCATTTTCATAGCAGCCACATACAAACAGCATGATCCCTTTGATCGTTGTAGAATTCCTTCTCTCATCTACGTGCTCTCTTCCTCTCACCTTTTCCCTTCGCTTGTGGACTTCAGTGCTCAACACATCAGCTGTCTGTGACCAGGCAAAAAAAAACTTTCCAAGCCAAACCTTCATAACATAACCGCTAAACACAGCCTACATCGTTGTCACCATATTAGCTAACATCATAGTCAACATAGCTACTAGAACTAACGCGTTAGTAAACCCGCTACAATCACGCACTACAGTGTACAGTCAGCAAGCAGTTTAGCAGTTACACCGGCGGGTCCCGGGTGGCAATAAATTCATAACACCAAAAGCTTACCTTGACTTGGAAGAGTTCCAGTGTTGGATAGCCATAGCCAGCTAGCTAACATCGTATCCCTCTCGCTGTTTGAGCCGGGTGTTTGAGGAGGCTAAACTAGCTAGCTGCATAAGTGAAAGTTAAAAAAATACAACCAAATATACAGTGAGGGAAAAAAGTATTTGATCCCCTGCTGATTTTGTACGTTTGCCCACTGACAAAGAAATGATCAGTCTATAATTTTAATGGTAGGTTTATTTGAACAGTGAGAGACAGAATAACATCAAAAAAATCCAGAAAAACGCATGTCAAAAATGTTATAAATTGATTTGCATTTTAATGATTCATTTAAAGGTTCGTATAAGTTTGTAGCTTAAACCGTCTGGACAGTCAGTTTTGTGAGAAGACCTCTTCAGAATTGGGATGTCCGCGTCAGCCACTTCAGACGACTGTCGTACCGCTAAACAACCCTCTTGTCAATGAGTCTCAGCTTTCCATGGTGGAGTTTAGTTAGTTTGGGTTTTACAGACGATTCAGTGACGATTTTCTTGTCCGGATCCTGTCATGTCTGGAAAAACACTGTCTATGGAATAGGCGCATTGGCTGCAATCGGTGAACTCCGTACAGTCTCACGGAGCCTATGTAAGAAACAGGTGGCTTAGTGGGTAAGAGCGTTGTGCCAGTAACCGAAAGGTCGCTGGTTCTAATCCCCGAGCCGACTAGGTGAAAAATCTGTCGATGTGCCCTTGAGCAAGGCACTTAACCCTAATTGCTCCTGTAAGTCGCTCTGGATAAGAGCGTCTGCTAAATGACTAAAATGTAAAATGTAAACAGGAAGTATCCAGTGTAAACACACAGGGAGCTATTTAATATGCAGTGCGTCAATCGACTTCAGGGGGTTTATTTGCCCCCGTCCAATACTTCTAACAATTCAAAGTCAAGTAAACCAAGGCCAGAGACTAGGGTTAGGTGGGTTGGTAAGGCTGGTTAGCTAGTTATTAACTAACTTTAAGTTAGTAGTTCATTTGTAACCCATACCTCATCTCTCCTCAGGAACTGAAGACCAAAGCCATCAGCATGTTGACAGAGGCAGTGCTGGATGGTAGCCAAGCTATGAGGGACCCAGTAGGGGGCAGCGTAGAGTTCCACTTCGTCCCCATCCTGAAGCTCATCAGCACTCTCCTCATCATGGGCATCTTCAACGACGAAGACGTTAAACACATCCTCAAGATGATTGACCCAAATGTGTTCGCTGGGAAGAAAGAGGAGGTGGTGGAGGAGGAGGAGGAGGAGGGAGAGAAGGCAGAGGGAGAGGATGCTACTGCCAAGGAAGAGGGGGAAGAAGTGAAGGAGAAGGAAGAGGGAGAGGAGGAAGAGGAGGAAGAGGAGGAGGCAGATGATGAAGGAGTAGGGGAGGAGGAAGAGGAGGATGAGGAACTGAAAAACCTGGAGAAAGAAGAAGGGGAGACGGAGGAGGAGGGGGAGAAGGAACACAAGGAGGAGGAGAAGGAGAAAGAGGAGGAGGGGGAGGAAAAAGAGATGACAGAAGAGGAGAAGAACATAGCGGCGACAGAGTTGGAGTTAGAGAAGGAGGAGGCCGCTTTGGAGGAGGGACTACTGCAGATGAAGCTGCCAGAGTCTGTCAAACTGCAGGTGAGTCTCTTCTGACAGCCATGTGAGTACTAAGGGTGGCCCCAGTCAGAGGCCCCTCCCATGTCTATTTAACACAATCATGGCTACTGAACGAAGAGCTGTTCGGAGCCGGCTCTTTCAGGTGAACAAATTAAAAGTCTAACTGAAAATAATTTAAATGACCTTCACTAGTAAAGGTCTTTGCATCACCACATAGACCAGGGATGGGCAATAATGTCTCGAGGGCCACATCAGGATAAAAATATTCAACAGAGGGGCTCCCAGACTTTTTTCAGACCGCTTTGTTTGTCAAAAGCAATTAGCGGCCCAGAAAAAGGGCAGTTGTTTCTACATATGTTTTATGTGTTTTTACACTTTCAAGTTAGGGATTTATGATGTGTAAATACTTTGCCTCATTTATCAACATAACTAAAAAAGGCATGCACACAAAACCTACAAAATATACAATGTTTCTCATATGCTGAAATCACAGAGAAGACAATTGTTTATATGAACGAAGTACGCACATTCATGCTGCTCAGGACTCAAACTCATAAAGGCTAGTTGTGAGTGTAATGCTGCTGTTTTGTGTACTAATCTCTCTCCTCTTTCTTTACCTCCCTCTCAGATGTGTACGCTGCTGCAGTACTTCTGTGACTGTGAACTGAGGCACAGGGTGGAGGCTATCGTGGCGTACTCAGATCAGTTTGTCAACGCCATTCAGACCAATCAGAGGGTTCGCTATAACCTGCTGATGCAGGCCTTCTCCATGAGCGCTGCCGAGACCGCACGCAAGACACGAGAGTTCCGCTCCCCACCTCAGGACCAGGTACAACTAGTCTTGTCTGAGCCCGAACGGTCCATAGAGCAAGACCAGGTACAACTAGTCTTGTCTGAGCCAGAACAGCCCATAGGTAAGGTGTAAGGTGAGGCAGCTTGATGTACCAGGACACCCTCTGGACAGGACACTAGTCTATTTCCTGTTTCTGTTAGTGAGTAGTGCCATCTGATGCTGATGATACTTAACTGTGTGTGTCCCTCCTGTCAGGTGATCCTGCTGACCAACTTCAAGCATGGTCCGGAGGAGGAGGAGTGTCCAGTACCGGAGGAGACCAGAGACACACTGACCGACTTCCACACTGACATCCTTATACATTGTGGTCAGTAACCCTGACCCCTGACCCCTAACCCCTAACCCACAGCACATCCTAACAACCTTCCAAAACACCACACACACACGGAGAGCTAACTGACCATGTATCCTTCTCTCCTCCAGGTGTGCACATCGAGGCGGAGGAGGAGGAAGAGGAGGTGGACACCTCTCTGAGAGGGCGCCTGGGCCGGTAGGTAACTCTAAGGGGTGGACCTTTAGCCGAAAGTTTGCCGGTTCGAATCCCAGGACTGCTCTGTCCTCTTCTCAAAAGTGTGTGTGGGATGTGTGTGTGTGATGTGTGTGTGTGCGATATCTGGGGGGTTGACAACTGAAGAGAGTAGAATACACATTTCTGTTGTTTGCTGCAACATACTGACAAATAAAGTTGTATTGTATTATAACATACTGATAATATGAAGTTGTATTGTATTATAACATACTGATAATATGAAGTTGTATTGTATTATAACATACTGATAATATGAAGTTGTATTGTATTATAACATACTGATAATATGAAGTTGTATTGTATTATAACATACTGATAATATGAAGTTGTATTGTATTATAACATACTGATAATATGAAGTTGTATTGTATTATAACATACTGATAATATGAAGTTGTATTGTATTATAACATACTGATAATATGAAGTTACATTTACATTTACATTTTAGTCATTTAGCAGACGCTCTTATCCAGAGCGACTTACAGTTAGTGAATACTTTTTTTTTTTTATACTGCCCACCCGTGGGAATCGAACCCACAACCCTGGCGTTGCAAACGCCATGCTCTATCAACTGAGCTACATCCCTGCCGGCCATTCCCTCCCCTACCCTGGACGACGCTGGGCCAATTGTGCGCCGCCCATGGGTCTCCCGGTCGCGGCCGGCTGCGACAGAGCCTGGATTCGAACCAGGATCTCTAGTGGCACAGTTAGCACTGCGATGCAGTGCCTTAGACCACTGCGCCACTCAGGAGTACTCAAGTTGTATTGTATTATAACATACTGATAATATGAAGTTGTATTGTATTATAACATATGGACAATAAAGTAGTTAGTCAGTCTCACTCAGATATCATATTAAAAACTACTAATCCATTCCCACGGGGGGCCAGTATGAAAAATGTATGCACTCACTAATTGTAAGTCGCTCTGGATAAGAGCGTCTGCTAAATGACTAAAATGTAAAATGTATGTAATGTAAATGTATTGTGTTATATCTCCTTAGGCTGGTGGGGAAGGTGAAGAACTTGAGGAAGAAGAAGGAGGTGGTGGAGGAGCCAAAGGAGGAGGAGGAGGTCAAACCCAGTAAGAACACATTCACCACCCTAACCCCTAACCCAGGAGGAGGTCAAACCCAGTAAGAACACATTCACCACCCTAACCCCTAACCCAGGAGGAGGTCAAACCCAGTAAGAACACATTCACCACCCTAACCCCTAACCCAGGAGGAGGTCAAACCCAGTAAGAACACATTCACCACCCTAACCCCTAACCCAGGAGGAGGTCAAACCCAGTAAGAACACATTCACCACCCTAACCCCTAACCCAGGAGGAGGGGGAGGAGGTCAAACCAGGAGGTTAACTCTAGTATACCCCTAACCCAGGAGGAGGAGGACGAGGAGGTCAAACCAGGAGGTTAACTCTAGTATATCCCTAACCCTAATACTTGGTTAGATTACACATCTTTGTATCTGTCCCATTGTGGCGTCTGTCATTTTCCTCTTCTACTATTTCTATGAGTTGGTAATAATAATAATAATAATAATAATAATAATAATACTAAATGGGACTTATATAGCACTTTTCAAGGAACCAAAGTCGCTTCACAATTATAGAAATGAAAAAGAAAAACAACAAAACATCAGACTAAACAAGACATGAATAAGGAGAGGGGTGGGCTCAAACAAGACATGTATAAGGAGAGGGGTGGGCTCAAACAAGACATGTATAAGGAGAGGGGTGGGCTCAAACAAGACATGTATAAGGAGAGGGGTGGGCTCAAACAAGACATGTATAAGGAGAGGGGTGGGCTCAAACAAGACATGTATAAGGAGAGGGGTGGGCTCAAACAAGACATGAATAAGGAGAGGGGTGGGCTCAAACAAGACATGTATAAGGAGAGGGGTGGGCTCAAACAAGACATGAATAAGGAGAGGGGTGGGCTCAAACAAGACATGAATAAGGAGAGGGGTGGGCTCAAACAAGACATGAATAAGGAGAGGGGTGGGCTCAAACAAGACATGTATAAGGAGAGGGGTGGGCTCAAACAAGACATGTATAAGTAGAGGGGTGGGCTCAAACAATACATGAATAAGGAGAGGGGTGGGCTCAAACAAGACATGTATAAGGAGAGGGGTGGGCTCAAACAAGACATGTATAAGGAGAGGGGTGGGCTCAAACAAGACATGTATAAGGAGAGGGGTGGGCTCAAACAAGACAGGAATAAGGAGAGGGGTGGGCTCAAACAAGACATGAATAAGGAGAGGGGTGGGCTCAAACAAGACATGTATAAGGAGAGGGGTGGGCTCAAACAAGACATGAATAAGGAGAGGGGTGGGCTCAAACAAGACATGAATAAGGAGAGGGGTGGGCTCAAACAAGACATGTATAAGGAGAGGGGTGGGCTCAAACAAGACATGAATAAGGAGAGGGGTGGGCTCAAACAAGACATGAATAAGGAGAGGGGTGGGCTCAAACAAGACATGTATAAGGAGAGGGGTGGGCTCAAACAAGACATGTATAAAGAGAGGGGTGGGCTCAAACAAGACATGTATAAAGAGAGGGGTGGGCTCAAACAAGACATGAATAAAGAGAGGGGTGGGCTCAAACAAGACATGTATAAAGAGAGGGGTGGGCTCAAACAAGACATGTATAAAGAGAGGGGTGGGCTCAAACAAGACATGAGTAAGGAGAGGGGTGGGCTCAAAGAAGGGAAAGAGTGTGATGTATCAGTGTATGGGGAGGGGAGGGTTGGGATTTGGATATGAACCCAGTTTAAGATTTACAGGCATAATTGATTAGCTTTAGGAGGATGGTACACAAGTATAGTGGTCATGGAGCAAGACGATTTATAGGCTATGGATTCAGATGAGGAGGAGAGCTAATCATTTTGTTGAGGAGAGCAAAGTTAGTATTGTGAGACTTGAGAGGTGAGTCTATGGATAGTGGTAGGCTGAAGGCACTTACAGTATGAGATGATGGATTGGGAGCAGGATACGAGTGAGGCCAGAGGGAGTTAACGTTGCTACCAGTAGTATAGTTGACAGACCAGTTCCAACGTGAGCCACGATGCAGGTAGCGGTGTCTATGGAGGATGCATGAGGATCAAGCAGGGATAAGGACATCAGAGGAGAGGCCATTGTTATTATTCAGGCGGCGAAGATCAAGGAAGGAGTAGTATTTGGTCTGGAAAAAACAGGGAGGGGGAAACCATAGTAATCCATGGCAGAGCGCAAACAGGAAGAACAGATAGGAGCCAGTGGGCAGGTGCATGACAGCGATTTAGATCCAATAAAACGTCAGGTAAATCCACACAGAAACCACCACGGTCGGTAAAGCAGCAAGTCAGAGCACAACTAACTTACTCTTAACCAGCTAGCACTAGAACCCACGGTCAAAACACATCTGAAACCCAACCTTCACCAGCAGAACAAAAGCAAAGAGAGAGTGGAGACTTACTCAATGAGATTGATGGCTGGGGCCCACGCCATGGCAAAAGGGTGGAGGCTGGGTTACCAGAGCGAGGGCCAGGGAGAGAAGCGCTTCAGGGGAGAGGCCATAGAGGAAGAATCCAGGCAGGTGGAGGTGATCACAGCAGTGCAGTTCAGAAACAGAAGTAGGCTAGCAGCCAACTAGCAAGCACTAATAAGCCAAGGTTGTAAAAGTCACAAAACAAGCTAGCTAGCACTAATAAGCCAAGGTTGTAAAAGTCACAAAACAAGCTAGCTAGCACTAATAAGCCAAGGTTGTAAAAGTCACAAAACAAGCTAGCAAGGACTAATAAGCCAAGGTTGTATAAGTCACAAAACAAGCTAGCAAGGACTAATAAGCCAAGGTTGTAAAAGTCACAAAACAAGCTAGCAAGGACTAATAAGCCAAGGTTGTAAAAGTCACAAAACAAGCTAGCAAGGACTAATAAGCCAAGGTTGTATAAGTCACAAAACAAGCTAGCTAGCACTAATAGGCCAAGGTTGTAAAAGTCACAAAAAACAAGCTAGCTAGCACTAATAAGCCAACGTTGTAAAAGTCACAAAACAAGTTAGCTAGCGCTAATAAGCCAAGGTTGTAAAAGTCACAAAACAAGCTAGCTAGCACTAATAAGCCAAGGTTGTAAAAGTCACAAAACAAGCTAGCTAGCACTAATAAGCCAAGGTTGTAAAAGTCACAAAACAAGCTAGTTAGTTAGCACTAATAAATCAAGGTTGTAAAAGTCACAAAACAAGCTAGCTAGCACTAATAAGCCAAGGTTGTAAAAGTCACAAAACAAGCTAGTTAGCACTAATAAACCAAGGTTGTGAAAGTCACAAAACAAGCTAGCTAGCACTAATAAGCCAAGGTTGTAAAAGTCACAAAACAAGCTAGCTAGCACTAATAAGCCAAGGTTGTAAAAGTCACAAAACAAGCAAGCTAGCACTAATAAACCAAGGTTGTAAAAGTCACAAAACAAGCTAGCTAGCACTAATAAGCCAAGGTTGTAAAAGTCACAAAACAAGCTAGTTAGTACTAATAAATCAAGGTTGTAAAAGTCACAAAACAAGCTAGCTAGCACTAATAAGCCAAGGTTGTAAAAGTCACAAAACAAGCTAGCTAGCACTAATAAGCCATGGTTGTAAAAGTCACAAAACAAGCTAGCTAGCACTAATAAGCCAGGGTTGTAAAAGTCACAAAAACTCCATTAGGCTTAAAAGTGGACATAAACAACAGGCCGAAAAGCAGACAAAACAATCACTTAACGAAAAACAGATGAGTAAACACTGTTACTAAACAGGTACCAGGTAGAAGCGACAGTCAAGCAAGACGCCAGCAGATACTCTTGCCCGGAAATGACATCACATGGTAAACAAACTGAAAGGGTGCATGTTGTTTGAACAGGTATAAAGCCAAGGTTGGTGATGTACTGCCACCTGCAGTTATGGAATGTTTACTCCCAGGCATAATTAATTGGCTGATCGCTCCTGATGACCTGGATGGAATTGTGTGATCCTTCCTAACCCATAGGAAGTCGCACCCAGTTGACTAATTTATAATGGTAGAAGTCCTCAATGGCAATGGCCATGCAAAAACGGGTTATATCCATGTAGTGATCTTTATCTATCTCTATGGGCTGTTTTCTAGACCTCCTTCCAGGTGATTCCTGCCAGACTTGACTCCTGTATCAATTAAAGTGGTGGCATAGTCTAGCACTTCCTAGTGATCCGTCACACTAGTAATATTTTATATATTTTCCCTGTACCCCAAAGGCCCTGTCATTTTTCCTATACCACAAAAACTTGAGCTGGTGTAGTACGGGGCAACAGACAGTAAAAATAGATAATCTCTTGTTCATTCACTACAACTCCATGTGTGTCCTCCCCTTCCCAAGGCACTCTCCAGGAGCTGATCTCCCATACCATGATCCACTGGGCCCAGGAGGCCTTCATCCAGAACCCTGAGCTGGTGCGTCTGATGTTCAGCCTGCTCCACAGGCAGTATGATGGGCTGGGGGAGCTGACCAGAGCCCTGCCTAAAGCCTACGCCATCAACGCTGTGTCTGTCCAGGATACAATGGACCTGCTGGAGTGCCTGGGCCAGATCAGATCTCTGCTCATCGTCCAGATGGGCCCAGAGGAGGAGAGGCTCATGATCCAGAGCATCGGGTATGTCTGGTTACTGTACCTTTAGGGTTAGGGTGGTTACTGTACCTTTAGGGTTAGGGTGGTTACTCTACCTTTAGGGTTAGGGTGGTTACTCTACCTTTAGGGTTAGGGTGGTTACTGTACCTTTAGGATTAGGGTGGTTACTGTACCTTTAGGATTAGGGTGGTTACTGTACCTTTAGGGTTAGGGTGGTTACTGTACCTTTAGGATTAGGGTGGTTACTCTACCTTTAGGATTAGGGTGGTTACTCTACCTTTAGGGTTAGGGTGGTTACTGTACCTTTAGGATTAGGGTGGTTACTCTACCTTTAGGATTAGGGTGGTTACTCTACCTTTAGGATTAGGGTGGTTACTGTACCTTTAGGGTTAGGGTGGTTACTGTACCTTTAGGATTAGGGTGGTTACTCTACCTTTAGGATTAGGGTGGTTACTCTACCTTTAGGATTAGGGTGGTTACTGTACCTTTAGGGTTAGGGTGGTTACTCTACCTTTAGGATTAGGGTGGTTACTCTACCTTTAGGTTTAGGGTGGTTACTCTACCTTTAGGTTTAGGGTGGTTACTCTACCTTTAGGATTAGGGTGGTTACTGTACCTTTAAGGTAAGAGTGGTTACTCTACCTTTAGGGTTAGGGTGGTTACTCTACCTTTAGGGTTAGGGTGGTTACTCTACCTTTAGGGTTAGGGTGGTTACTCTACCTTTAGGGTTAGGGTGGTTACTCTACCTTTAGGGTTAGGGTGGTTACTCTACCTTTAGGGTTAGGGTGGTTACTGTACCTTTAGGATTAGGGTGGTTACTCTACCTTTAGGATTAGGGTGGTTACTGTACCTTTAAGGTAAGGGTGGTTACTCTACCTTTAGGATTAGGGTGGTTACTCTACCTTTAGGTTTAGGGTGGTTACTCTACCTTTAGGGTTAGGGTGGTTACTCTACCTTTAGGGTTAGGGTGGTTACTCTACCTTTAGGGTTAGGGTGGTTACTCTACCTTTAGGGTTAGGGTGGTTACTCTACCTTTAGGGTTAGGGTGGTTACTCTACCTTTAGGGTTAGGGTGGTTACTCTACCTTTAGGGTTAGGGTGGTTACTGTACCTTTAGGGTTAGGGTGGTTACTGTACCTTTAGGGTTAGGGTGGTTACTCTACCTTTAGGGTTAGGGTGGTTACTCTACCTTTAAGGTAAGGGTGGTTACTCTACCTTTAAGGTAAGGGTGGTTACTGTACCTTTAAGGTAAGAGTGGTTACTCTACCTTTAGGATTAGGGTGGTTACTGTACCTTTAGGGTTAGGGTGGTTACTCTACCTTTAGGGTTAGGGTGGTTACTCTACCTTTAAGGTAAGGGTGGTTACTCTACCTTTAAGGTAAGGGTGGTTACTCTACCTTTAGGGTTAGGGTGGTTACTGTACCTTTAGGGTTAGGGTGGTTACTGTACCTTTAGGGTTAGGGTGGTTACTCTACCTTTAGGGTTAGGGTGGTTACTGTACCTTTAGGGTTAGGGTGGTTACTCTACCTTTAGGGTAAGGGTGGTTACTCTACCTTTAGGATTAGGGTGGTTACTGTACCTTTAGGGTAAGGGTGGTTACTCTACCTTTAGGATTAGGGTGGTTACTGTACCTTTAGGGTTAGGGTGGTTACTCTACCTTTAGGATTAGGGTGGTTACTGTACCTTTAGGGTTAGGGTGGTTACTCTACCTTTAGGATTAGGGTGGTTACTGTACCTTTAGGGTTAGGGTGGTTACTGTACCTTTAGGGTAAGGGTGGTTACTGTACCTTTAGGGTAAGGGTTAGGGTGGTTACTGTACCTTTAGGGTTAGGGTGGTTACTGTACCTTTAAGGTAAGGGTGGTTACTCTACCTTTAGGATTAGGGTGGTTACTCTACCTTTAGGGTTAGGGTGGTTACTGTACCTTTAGGGTTAGGGTGGTTACTGTACCTTTAGGATTAGGGTGGTTACTGTACCTTTAGGATTAGGGTGGTTACTGTACCTTTAGGATTAGGGTGGTTACTGTACCTTTAGGGTTAGGGTGGTTACTCTACCTTGTAAAGTTTAGGCTCATGACCCAGATTATCTGGCATCACGTAGGTGGACCAGTGATTACCAGGGTTGGGGGCAATTCCATTTAAATTCATTGAAATTGAAATTGAATTGTACCCTAAACCTGGCAGTGATGACTGTATGAAGGACAGGACCGAAGGAACAATTCAACTACCATTATTTTTGTTAATGTAAAAGTATGTTTGTTGTTGTGCACTGTCTCGTTCTCCAGGATCATCATGACAAACAAAGTATTCTACCAACACCCCAACCTTATTAGAGCTCTCTTTGTTTACCTGTTTATTTATTTGGTTGTTTTTGTTTTCCAGGAACATCATGAACAACAAGGTGTTCTACCAGCACCCTAACCTGATGAGGGCTCTGGGGATGCACGAGACTGTCATGGAGGTGATGGTCAACGTGCTGGGAGGAGGAGGAGATTCCAAGGAGATCCGCTTCCCCCAGATGGTGACCAACTGCTGTCGGTTCCTGTGTTACTTCTGTCGTATCAGCCGTCAGAACCAGCGGTCCATGTTTGATCACCTCAGCTACCTGCTGCAGAACAGCGGCATCGGCCTGGGTACAGTACACTCTGCCTGTCAATCAGAAAACACACAGGGGAACTCTTAACCACTGGTACAGGATCAGTTATGTTTTCATCCCCCTAGTGGTAAAGGTTAGGATTGGGGATAGGGAAATCTGATCCTAGATCTGTGATTAAGAGCAACTACTATCTACCTCAATCTCGATCACTTCTCTGAGACACTTCCCTAGCTCTGTGTGTGTTTCATAAACATTCTCCTGGTCTTCTTGTAGGTATGCGTGGCTCCACCCCTCTAGATGTGGCTGCAGCTTCCTGTATCGACAACAACGAGCTGGCCTTGGCTCTACAGGAGCAGGACCTGGAGAAGGTAACACTAACCCTAACCTGTCACCCCGTACCCCTATTCAACAGGAGGCTGCTGAGGTTAGGACGGCTCATAAAAGTGTCTGGTACAGAGAAAATGGAATTGCATCAATGTATTTGATACCATTCCACTCTTTCCACTCCAGCCATTACCATGAGCGCGTCCTCCCAAATTAAGGCGCCACCAAGCTCCAGTGTCCTATTCCTTATATAGAGCGGGAAGAATGGCACCGGAGGGGATGGCTGCCGTTTTACGGGCTCCTAACCAATTGTGCTACTTTGTGGTTTTTTCGCATTGTTTGTAACTTATTTTGTAAGTAATGTTAATGCTACCATCTCTTATGACTGAAAAGAGCTTCTGGATATCAGAACAGTGATTACTCACCTCAAACTGGATGAAGAGTCTGACGTGAAGTCTGACGTGAAGGATATAATGTTGCTCCCGGACAAGGCCCAAATCCCCGTCATTCGCATGAAGAAAAGAATGAGATACAGGGAGCGCAGATCAGGGTGCCTTGTGAGAATTCATTGGTGAGTGGGTGACCCGCCTCTACCATCCGTTCTATTGGCCAACGTGCAATCACTGGAGAATAAACTGGATGATCTTCGTTCGAGACTGTCCTACCAACGGGACATTAAAAACTGTAATATCTTATGTTTCACTGAGTCGTGGCTGAACGACGACACAGATAATATACAGTTGGCTGTGTTTTCTGTGCATCGGCAGGACAGAACAGCTACGTCTGGTAAGACGAGGGGTGGTGGTGTGTGTTTATTTGTCAATAACAGCTGGTGCGCGATGTCTAATATTAAGGAAGTCCAAAGGTATTGCTCGCCTGAGATAGAGTACCTCATGATAAGCTGCCGACCACACTATCTACCAAGAGAGTTTTCATCTATATTTTTCATAGCCGTCTATTTACCACCACAAACCGATGCTGGCACTAAGACCGCACTCAACCAGCTGTATAGGGCCATAAGCAAACAACAAAATGCTCATCCAGAAGCGGTGCTCCTAATGGCCGGGGACTTTAATGCAGGCAAACTTAAATCAGTTTTACCAAATTTCTACCAGCATGTCACGTGCAACTAGAGGAAAATAACCTCTAGACCAGCTTTATTCCACACACAGAGAAGCGTACAAAGCTCTCCCTCGCCCTCCATTTGGCAAATCTGACCATAATTATATCCTCCTGATTGCTGCTTACGAGCAAAAACTAAAGCAGGAAGTACCAGTGACTCGCTCAATACGGAAGTGGTCAGATGACGCAGATGCTACGCTACAGGACTGTTTTGCTAGCACAGACTGGAATATGTTCCTGGATTCATCCAATGGCATTGAGGAGTATACCACCTCAGTTACCGGCTTCATCAATAAGTGCATCGACGACGTCGTCCCCACAGTGACCGTACGTACATATTCCAACCAGATGCCATGGATTACAGGCAACATCCGCACCGAGCTAAAGAGTAGAGCTTCCGCTTCCAAGGAGCGGGACACTAATCCGGACGCTTATAAGAAATCCTGCTATGCCCTCAGACGAACCATCAAACAGGGAAAGCATCAATACAAGACTAAGATTGAATCCTACTACACCGGCTCTGACGCTCGTCGGATGTCGCAGGGCTTGCAAACTATTACGGACTACAAAGAGAAACCCAGCCGCGAGCTGCCCAGTGATGCGAGCCTACCAGACGGGCTAAATGCCTTTTATGCTCGCTTCGAGGCAAGTAACACTGAAGCATGCATGAGAGCACCAGCTGTTCCGGGCGACTGTGTGATCACGTTCTCCGTAGCCAATGTAAGCAAGACCTTTTAAACAGGTCAACATTTACAAGGCCGCGGGGCCAGACGGATTACCAGGACGTGTACTCAGCGCATGCGTGGACCAACTGGCAAGTGTCTTCACTGACATTTTCAACCTCTCCCTGACCGAGTCTGTAATACCTAAATGTTTCAAGCAGACCACCATAGTCCCTGTGCCCAAGAAAGTGAAGGTAACCTGCCTAAATGACTACCGCCCCATAACACTCACATCGGTAGCCATGAAGTGCTTTGAAAGGCTGGTCATGGCTCACATCAACACCATCATCCCGGAAACCCTAGACCCTCTCCAATTCGCATACTGCCCCAACAGATCCACAGATGATGCAATCTCAATCGCACTCCACTCTGCCCTTTCCCACCTGGACAAAACGAACACCTATGTGAGAATGCTGTTCATTGACTACAGCTCAGCGTTCAACACCATAGTGCCCACGAAGCTCATCACTAAGCTAAGGACCCTGGGACTAAACACCTCCCTCTGCAACTGGATCCTGGACTTCCTGACGGGCCACCCCCAGGTGGTAAAGGTAGGCAACAACACATCTGCCACGCGGATCCTCAACACGGGGGCCCCTCAGGGGTGCATGCTTAGTCCCCTCCTGTACTCCCTGTTCACCCACGACTGCATGGCCAAGCATGACTCCAACACCATCATTAAGTTAGCTGATGACACAACGGTGGTAGGCCTGATCACCAACAACGATGAGACAGCCTATATGGAGGAGGTCAGAGAGCTGGCAGTGTGGTGCCAGGACAACAACCTCTCCCTCAACGTGAGCAAGACAATGGAGATTATTGTGGACTACAGGAAAAGGAGGGCCGAACAGGCCCCCATTCACATCGACGGGGCTGTAGTGGAGCGGGTCGAGAGTTTCAAGTTCCTTGGTGTCCACATCACCAACAAACTATCATGGTCCAAACACACCAAGACAGTCGTGAAGAGGGCACGACAACGCCTTTTCCCCCTCAGGAGAAGAAGATTTGGCATGGGTCCCCAGAAACTGAAAAAGTTATACAGCTGCACCATCGAGAGCATCCTGACCAGTTGCTTCACCGCCTGGTATGGCAACTGCTCGGCATCCGACCGTAAGGCGCTACAGAGGGTAGTGCATATGGCCCAGTACATCACTGGGGCCAAGCTTCCTGCCATCCAGGACCTATATGCCAGGCGGTGTCAGAGGACGGCCCAAAAAATATTCAAAGACAGTAACCCAAGTCATAGACTGTTCTCTCTGCTACCGCACAGCAAACGGTACCGGAGCGCCAAGTCTAGGTCCAAAATGCTCCTTAACAGCTTCTACCCCCAAGCCATAAGTCTGCTGAACACTTAATCAAATGGCCACCCGGACTATTTGCATTGAACTTTATTTTATTTAGTAAATAACTATTTTCTTAAAACTGCATTGTTGGTTAAGGGCTTATAAGTAAGCATTTCATGGTAAGGTCTACACCTGTAGTATTCAGCGCATGTGACAGATTAGATTCGATTCGATTTGATTTGACCCTAAACCTTACTCTAACCCAACAACGAGATGGACATGGCTCTGCAGGAACAGAACCTGGAGATCAGGCTCACTGTCCGCCTATTCCCTATACAGTAGACCCTAGATAAAACATCTGTCTCCCTGTACCCCTAGTCCACATACAGTAGGACGTTTCCCATTAGGACCTGGATAGAACACAATCCGTTTCCCAGTCCGATGCTCCTGTCTAAGGGTTACCCTGCTAACCCTTACCCTCTCCTACCTGCCCCTCTCTCCAGGTGGTGACGTATCTGGCGGGCTGTGGACTACAAAGCTGTCCGATGCTCCTGTCTAAGGGTTACCCTGCTAACCCTTACCCTCTCCTACCTGCCCCTCTCTCCAGGTGGTGACGTATCTGGCGGGCTGTGGACTACAAAGCTGTCCGATGCTCCTGTCTAAGGGTTACCCTGCTAACCCTTACCCTCTCCTACCTGCCCCTCTCTCCAGGTGGTGACGTATCTGGCGGGCTGTGGACTACAAAGCTGTCCGATGCTCCTGTCTAAGGGTTACCCTGCTAACCCTTACCCTCTCCTACCTGCCCCTCTCTCCAGGTGGTGACGTATCTGGCGGGCTGTGGACTACAAAGCTGTCCCATGCTCCTGTCTAAGGGTTACCCTGCTAACCCTTACCCTCTCCTACCTGCCCCTCTCTCCAGGTGGTGACGTATCTGGCGGGCTGTGGACTACAAAGCTGTCCCATGCTCCTGTCTAAGGGTTACCCTGCTAACCCTTACCCTCTCCTACCTGCCCCTCTCTCCAGGTGGTGACGTATCTGGCGGGCTGTGGACTACAAAGCTGTCCCATGCTCCTGTCTAAGGGTTACCCTGCTAACCCTTACCCTCTCCTACCTGCCCCTCTCTCCAGGTGGTGACGTATCTGGCGGGCTGTGGACTACAAAGCTGTCCGATGCTCCTGTCTAAGGGTTACCCTGCTAACCCTTACCCTCTCCTACCTGCCCCTCTCTCCAGGTGGTGACGTATCTGGCGGGCTGTGGACTACAAAGCTGTCCGATGCTCCTGTCTAAGGGTTACCCTGCTAACCCTTACCCTCTCCTACCTGCCCCTCTCTCCAGGTGGTGACGTATCTGGCGGGCTGTGGACTACAAAGCTGTCCCATGCTCCTGTCTAAGGGTTACCCTGCTAACCCTTACCCTCTCCTACCTGCCCCTCTCTCCAGGTGGTGACGTATCTGGCGGGCTGTGGACTACAAAGCTGTCCCATGCTCCTGTCTAAGGGTTACCCTGACATCGGCTGGAATCCCTGTGGAGGAGAGAAATACCTGGACTTCCTCCGCTTTGCCGTCTTTGTCAACGGTCAGTTACAGTGCCTCCAACACCTAGCCTGGAATAGACACTGAATATACTTTCTGTTTCACAATTGTTTCACTAAAATGAAGTGTGGATTCAGAGTGGTTTCCAGGCTTTCTAATACCTGGACTATATTACTGATGTTGCTGCAGTATTGTTAGCCCTGATTTGGCTGTAGTCTCCACTATGGTAGTCTCCACTATGGTAGTCTCCACTATGGTAGTCTCCATGGCTGTAGTCTCCACTATGGTTGTCTATATGGAAGTCTCCACTATGGTAGTCTCCACTATGGTAGTCTCCACTATGGTAGTCTCCATGGCTGTAGTCTCCACTATGGTTGTCTATATGGTAGTCTCCACTATGGTAGTCTTCACTATGGTAGTCTCATTTACATTTACATTTACGTCATTTAGCAGACGCTCTTATCCAGAGCGACTTACAAATAGGTGCATTCACCTTATAGCCAGTGGGATAACCACTTTATTTTTTTGGGGGGGGGGGGGGGGTTGGGGGGGGGGGTAGAAGGATTACTTTATCCTATCCCAGGTATTCCTTAAAGAGGTGGGGTTTCAAATGTCTCCGGAAGGTGGTGAGTGACTCCGCTGTCCTGGCGTCGTGAGGGAGCTTGTTCCACCATTGGGGTGCCAGAGCAGCGAACAGTTTTGACTGGGCTGAGCGGGAACTATGCTTCCGCAGAGGTAGGGGAGCCAGCAGGCCAGAGGTGGATGAACGCAATGCCCTCGTTTGGGTGTAGGGACTGATCAGAGCCTGAAGGTACGGAGGTGCTGTTCCCCTCACAGCTCCGTAGGCAAGCACCATGGTCTTGTAGCAGATGCGAGCTTCAACTGGAAGCCAGTGGAGTGTGCGGAGGAGCGGGGTGACGTGAGAGAACTTGGGAAGGTTGAACACCAGACGGGCTGCGGCATTCTGGATGAGTTGTAGGGGTTTAATGGCACAGGCAGGGAGCCCAGCCAACAGCGAGTTGCAGTAATCCAGACGGGAGATGACAAGTGCCTGGATTAGGACCTGTGCCGCTTCCTGTGTAAGGTAGGGTCATACTCTCCGAATGTTGTAGAGCATGAACCTACAGGATCGGGTCACCGCCTTGATGTTAGCGGAGAAGGACAGGGTGTTGTCCAGGGTCATGCCAAGGCTCTTCGCACTCTGGGAGGAGGACACAACGGAGTTGTCAACCGTGATGGTGAGATCATGGAACAGGCAGTCCTTCCCCGGGAGGAAGAGCAGCTCCGTCTTGCCAATGTTCAGCTTGAGGTGGTGATCCGTCATCCATACTGATATGTCTGCCAGACATGCAGAGATGCGATTCGCCACCTGGTTATCAGAAGGGGGAAAGGAGAAGATTAGTTGTGTTTCGTCAGCGTAGCAATGATAGGAGAGGCCATGTGAGGATATGACAGAGCCAAGTGACTTGGTGTATAGCGAGAATAGGAGAGGGCCTAGAACTGAGCCCTGGGGGACACCAGTGGTGAGAGCACGTGGTGCGGAGACAGCTTCTCGCCACGCCACTTGGTAGGAGCGACCTGTCAGGTAGGACGCAATCCAAGAGTGAGCCGCGCCGGAGATGCCCAACTCGGAGAGGGTGGAGAGGAGTATCTGATGGTTCACAGTATCAAAGGCAGCAGACAGGTCTAGAAGGACAAGAGCAGAGGAGAGAGAGTTAGCTTTAGCAGTGCGGAGAGCCTCCGTGACACAGAGAAGAGCAGTCTCAGGGGGGGGGGGGGGGGATTCAGCAGGGAGGAGAATGTGGCAAAGAGCTTCCTAGGGTTAGAGGCAGATGCTTGGAATTTAGAGTGGTAGAAAGTGGCCATAGCAGCAGAAACAGATGAAGAAAATGTAGAGAGGAGGGAGTGAAAAGATGCCAGGTCCGCAGGGAGTCTAGTTTTCTTCCATTTCCGCTCAGCTGCCCGGAGCTCTGTTCTGTGAGCTCGCAATGAGTCGTCATCAAGCCACGGAGCTGGAGGGGTGGACCGAGCCGGCCGGGAGGATAGGGGACATAGAGAGTCAAAGGATGCAGAAAGGGAGGAGAGGAGGGTTGAGGAGGCAGAATCAGGAGATTGGAGGGAGAAGGATTGAGCAGAGGGAAGAGATGATAGGATGGAAGAGGAGAGAGTAGCGGGAGAGAGAGAGCGAAGGTTGCGACGGCGCATTACCATCTGTGTAGGGGCAGAGTGAGTGTTGGAGGAGAGGGAGAGAGAAAAGGATACAAAGTAGTGGTCGGAGACTTGGAGGGGAGTTGCAGTGAGATTAGTAGAACAACAGCATCTAGTAAAGATGAGGTCAAGCGTATTGCCTGCCTTGTGAGTAGGGGGGGACGGTGAGAGGGTGAGGTCAAAAGAGGAGAGGAGTGGAAAGAAGGAGGCAGAGAGAAATGAGTCAAATGTAGACGTAGGGAGGTTGAAATCCCCCAGAACTGTGAGGGGTGAGCCATCCTCAGGAAAGGAACTTATCAAGGCGTCAAGCTCATTGATGAACTCTCCAAGGGAACTTGGAGGGCGATAGATTAAGCTTAAATGGGCTAGTGACTGTGACAGCATGGAATTCAAATGAGGAGATAGACAGATGGGTCAGGGGAAAAATTGAGAATGTCCACTTGGGAGAGATGAGGATTCCTGTGCCACCACCCCGCTGACCAGATGCTCTCGGGGTATGCGAGAACACATGGTCAGACGAGGAGAGAGCAGCAGGAGTAGCAGTGTTTTCAGTGGTAATCCATGTTTCCGTCAGCGCCAAGAAGTCGAGGGACTGGAGGGTAGCATAGGCTGAGATGAACTCTGCCTTGTTGGCAGCAGAACGGCAGTTCCAGAGGCTGCCTGAGACCTGGAACTCCACGTGGGAGGTGCATGCAGGGACCACCAGGTTAGAGAGGCAGCAGCCACGCGGTGTGAGGCGTTTGTATAGCCTGTGCGGAGAGGAAAGAACAGGGATAGGCAGAGGCATAGTTGACAGGCTGCAGCAGATGGCTACAATAATGCAGAGGAGATCGGAATGAAATGAACTAAACATCTGGGAAAGGAGAGAGCGGGGCCTCCCTCACCACAACCCCCAAATATAACTCTCCCAACTTCCACCTCAGAAACTATAATTGTTGTAAACTACAGCGGTTCAATGTTTTCTAGGAATAGACTAACTTTGTTTATTCAGCTAGCTAACTAGGTGCAGTATTATTCCGTGAAAATCGTCCGGGCACCTCGTCATAAGACGCCACAGCCAGCTAGCATGCCGGCCACAACAAACCACCAGTGTATCAACACGCAAGCAGATCGTTCGTGTCCGTGTCTAACGTTGTGGGTTAGTCCCGACAGCTTGAGCGAGTCCGTCGTCAACTTATTCAGCCAGTTAGTTAGCTAGAATAGTTAGCAAACTAGCTAGCCATTGCTTTCAGACAAAGAAGAACCCCTCCTTTCACGGCACGAACACACAGAGAGAGCCAAACTAACATTAACTAGTCACCCATGTCCCGAATTCCTTGAACGACTCGGGCTATCAATATGTAAAAAAACAAAACACAAATGTAGGTTATGACTTACCCCTAGCAGCTACTGTTAGCTAGCCAAGTGCATAGCTAGCCACTGAATTGACTCAGCCAGTTCGCGTCTGTTCGCTCGGTCGTTCCAGCTATTGTTTACTAGTAGCTATCCAGGTAGCAACAAGCTAGCTAAATTTCAAGCACAGTAGCCACTTGCTACCTAACGTTAACGGTTCAGACAATGAGGTTAGAAAACAGCTGAATGGTAGGCAATTATTGTTGTAATTATTGTAGGCAACCAGCTGGCGTAATTACAGGCACTCTCAGGCGTGAAACAACTATACCGTTGCTAATAGCTACTCGCCAGCTAGTCCAGGTGGTGGGTTAGCTAGCTAGCTTCGTGCTACACCCGGCACCGCCGAATACAATACTAACCTACAATAATTACATACAACAACCCACGATAACTACCTACAATACCTAACTACAATCTAAATACATTGTTTAAGCCTTACTCGACAAAGCCCAAGCTATGTATAAAGCCAAGCTTACCCGACGCCAAGCTTACCCGACGACCTCCTCCTTCGACGACCTGTCTCCACTATGGTAGTCTCCAGTATGGTAGTCTCCACTATGGTAGTCTCCATGGCTGTAGTCTCCACTATGGTTGTCTATATGGTAGTCTCCACTATGGTAGTCTCCATAATAGAGGTGTGCCAGTGCTACAGTGTACCAGTAGCGGTGACTCACACTCTGTTCTTCTTCTATTATTATTTCTCTGTCTGTCTGTTCTTACCCTACAGGAGAGAGTGTGGAGGAGAATGCCAACGTGGTGGTGCGTCTACTGATTCGTCGGCCAGAGTGTTTTGGCCCCGCCCTGAGAGGAGAGGGGGGTGCTGGTCTGCTGGCGGCAATAGAGGAGGCCATCAAGATCTCAGAGGACCCAGCCAGGGACGGACCTACCGTCAAGAAGGACAGGCGGTTCCCCATGTAAGCCTACTGGAGAGCTGTTGTTGTGGTGTTGTGTTGTTGTTGTTGTTTTGTTGTTGGTGTTGTTGTGGTGGTGTTGTTGTGTTGTGGTATGTAGCCAGGGACGGACCTACCGTCAAGAAGGACAGACGCTTCCCTGTGTAAGAAAAGTATATTCTTTAGCATATAAGATGGATGCTTTGGTAAGACTGGAGAGAGAGAAGTATGGTGT